ATGACAGCTTCTATTTCCATAGGGGTTATAGGTCTATTTAAATTGCTTATCTGTTCTTGATTTAGTTTTGGCAATTGATAGCTGTCCAGGAAGTCATCCATTTCCTTTAAATTTTTGAATTTTGTGGACTACAGGTTTTCAAAGTATGACCTATTGATTCTCTGGATTTCCTCAGAGTCTGTTGTTATGTCCCCCTTTTCATTTCTAATTTTGTTAATTTGCGTGTTCACTCTCTGCTGTTTGGTAAGTTTGGACAAAGGTTTGTCTATCTTGTTAATTTACTCAAAGAACCAACTCTTCGTTGCATTGATTCTTTGTATTGTTTTCCTGGTTTCTACTTTATTGATTTCAGCCCTCAATTTGATTATTTCCTGGCGTCTACTCCTCCTGGGGAAGTGTGCTTCTTTGTGTTCTAGAGCTTTCAGCTGTGATGTTAATTCTCTGGTATAACTGTTCTCCTGTTTCTTCATGTGAGCACTTAGTGCTATGAACTTCCCCCGTAGCACTGCTTTCAAAGTGTCCCATAGGTTTGGGTATGTTGTGTCTTCATTCTCATTGAATTCGAGGAAGTCTTTAATTTCTTTTTTTATTTCCTCTTTGACCCAGGGATGGTGCAGTTGAGCATTATTCAATTTCCATGAGTTTGTAGGTTTTCTGCAATTTGTGTTGTTGTTGAATTCTAATTTTAAAGCCTGGTGGTCTGATAAGATGCATGGAGTTATTCCAATTTTTTTGTAGCTGCTGAGGTTTGATATGTTGCCAAGTATGTGGTCGATTTTTGAGAAGGTTCCATGTGGTGGTGAGAAGAAGGTATATTCTTTTTTATGTGGATGAAATGTTCTATAGATATCTGTTAATCCCAGTTGGGTCATTACTTCTATTAGACCTTTTGCTTCTTTGTTGAGGGTCTGTTTGGTATTCCTGTCTAGTGGTGAGAGTGGTGTGTTGAAATCTCCCACTATAACTGTGTGGGGCTTTAGATGAGATTTAAGTTCTAATAATGTTTCTTTAACGAATGTGGATGCCTTTGTATTTGGGGCATATATGTTCAGGATAGACACTTCATCTTGGTGGGTTTCACCTGTGATGAGTATGTAACGACCTCCTTCATCTCTTTTGATTGATTTTATTTTAAAGTCTAGTTTGTTAGAAATTAGGATTGCTACCCCTGCTTGTTTCTTGGGTCCATTTGATTGAAAAAATTTTTCCCAACCTTTAACTCTCAGGTAATGTCTGTCTTTAAGGGTGAGGTGTGTTTCTTGTATGCAGCAGAAGGAAGGGTTCTGTCTTCGAATCCATTCTGCTAGTCTGTGTCTTTTTATGGGTGAGTTAAGGCCATCAATATTGAGGGATATTAATGACCATTGATTGCTCATCCTTCTTCGATTTGCGATGGTTGTTGTTGGTGGAATTATGTGTGGAATTTCACCCCTTTGTTCTTTTGGCTGTTGGTAGAGAGGGATTCTCTAATGCTTATGTTTTTCTGGTTGTAGTTAGCTTCCTTGGGTTGGAGTTTACCTTCCAAAATTTTCTGTAGGGCTGGGTTAGTGGACACATATTGCTTGAATCTAGTTTTGTCATGGAATATCTTGTTTTCTCCATCTATAGTGATTGAGAGCTTTGCCGGGTATAGTAGTCTGGGCTGGCATCCATGGTCTCTTAGTGTAGGTAGAATATCTATCCAGGACCTTCTGGCTTTCAGAGTTTCCATGGAGAAATCACGTGTAATTCTGATAGGTCTGCCTTTATATGTTACTTGACCTTTTTCCTTAGCTGCTCTTAATATTCTTTCTTTATTCTGTATGTTTGGGGTCTTGATTATTATGTGGCGAGGGATTTTTTTGTGGTCCACTCTATTTGGTGTTCTGTAGGCTTCTTGTACCTTCATTGGCATGTCTTTCTTAAGGTTGGGAAAGTTTTCTTCTATGATTTTGTTGAATATGCCTTCTGCCCCTTTGAGGTGGATTTCTTCTCCTTCTTCTATACCTATTATTCTTAGGTTTGGTCTTTTCATGGTGTCCCATATTTCCTGGATGTTTTGTGTTAAGGATTTGTTGGATTTAAGGTTTTCTTTGATTGATAAATCCATTTCTCCTAGCGTATCTTCAACACTTGAGATTCTCTCTTCCATCTCTTCTATTCTGTTGGTAATGCTTGTATCGGTAGTGCCTGACTGTTTGTCCAGCTTTTCTATTTTCTGCCTTTCTTCAGATTGTGTTTTTTTTAATGACTCTATTTCAGTTTTCAACCCTTGCAGTGTTTGCATTGCTTCTTGCAATTTTATGTTTATCTCTTCGTCCATTTGTTGCCTTTTATGAATTTTTTGGTTTGTTCTTTCTTCCATTTCTTGCATTTTTTGGTTTGCTTTTTGTTCCATTTCTCGCATTTTGTGCTTTGTTTCTTCTTCCATTTCCTGCCTTTTTGGTTTGTTTCTTCTTCCATTTTTTTCATTTTTTGCTTTGTTTTTTCTACCATTTCTTGCATTTTTTGCTTTGTTTCTTCTTCCATTTCCTGCCTTTTTTGGTATGTTTCTTCTTCCAATTCTTGCATTTTTTGCTTTGTTTTTTCTTCCATTTCTTGCATTTTTTGCTTCATTTCTTCTTCCATTTCCTGCCTTTTTTGGTTTGTTTTTTCTTCCAATTCTTGCATTTTTTGGTTTGTTTTTCTTCCATTTCTTGCATTTTTTTGGTTTGTTTTTTCTTCCATTTCTTTGAGGGATTTTCCAATATCCTCTTTTAGGGCCTCTATCATTTTCATGAAAGTGCTTTTAAGGTCGTTCTCTTCTGCTTCGTTCGCATTGGAATGTTGGGGTCTTGCTGGTGTGGAGTCTCTAGAATCTGGCGGTGTCATATTTGTTTTTCTGTTGCTGACTGTGTTTTTGTATTGTCTCTTTCCCATCTCTTCTTCTAGTGGGTGCAGAAAGAGCCCCTTACTGGTCTGGGGACCAGAGTTCCCTTTTGGTGGGTGCTAGCTAGTCCAATAATCTGGTGGTTCTTCTATTCCTTGTCCGAATGCTGGTCCCATGGGTGGAGAAGAAGAACAGGAATCTGGGGCGCTTATCCTCTTACCTGGTCCCCTGGACCCTATGCTGGGTCCTGTTGTACTTGATCCAGAACAGCTACTCCCCTGGTCTCCCTGGGTCCTCTGGTTTCCTGGTCTCGTTGGTGGGAGAGAAGACCTGGGGTCTGGGTGCTTGGCTCCCGCCGGGATTGGGAGCTCTGTGCAGGTCCCAGGCGATCTGCAGGCACTGGAACACAGGCCAGGAAGCCGGCCTGTTTACCTGATGCTACCAGAGGAACAGCTGCTTCCCTGGACTCCCAGCCTCCTCTCGTTTCCTGGTCTCGTTGGTGGGAGAGAAAATCTGGAGTCTGGGGTGCTTGGCTCCCGCCGGGATTGGGAGCTCTGTGCAGTTCCCAGGCGATCTGCAGGCACTGGAGCACAGGCCGGAAAGCCGGCCTGTTTACCTGATGCTGCCAGAGGAACAGCTGCTTCCCTGGACTCCCAGCCTCCTCTCCTCGATAATTTACTTTTTGATTATTTGTTTCTATGGATGTTTAATTTTTCCAGAGTTAATGTTGAGAAATCAATTCTCCAATTACGTTTTTTGCACAGTTTGTTGAAATTCAAATAACTATGTATTTGTAGGTATGTTCCTGAATTATGTATTCTGTTCTACTTCTACTTTCGCTAATGGCAAGTAATCCCAATTAATGTGGTACCATAGTAGTATTAAAATCTGGTAATGTGAGTCTTACAAAACTTTGTTTTGTAAAATTCTTTTCATTTTATAATATATTATTTTGAGGATAAATAACAGAATAAGTTTGATGCTAGCATTAAAATTATACTAATTATATATTAGCTTGAAAACACTGATTTCTTGTCAATATTGACTTTTTCAATCCAGGAAAATAGCCATTCCTCCATTTATTAATCAGTACTTTGAATGTTATTTTACCAATATTTTGTTTAAAATATGATGATGCTGCACATATTTCCCTTTTTATTAACCATAGAGTCTTTTCTCATACATTAAAATCTGAATCAGACTCCCCTTCCTCTACTCCTACCAGCTTCTCCCCATCTCCTCTCCAATTATGATCCACTCCCTTTCAGTGTCTCATTAGAAAAGAACAGGCTACTAAGAGATAACAGCAAAACATAGCAACATAAAATAAATTGAAAAACATTTTATTGAAGTTGGACAAGACAAATCAACACAAAAATAAGAGACCCCTAAGAGAAGGCACAAGATTCAGAGACCCACTCATTTACACATTCAGGAATCCAATAAAATTGCTGACTGAAAGCTATAGTATATATTTATAAGATGTTTAATTAGATTTCACAGAATACATTTTGTTGCTGTACTATACACCATGGTTTAATTTGAATATCTCTCTTTTGTTTGCTGATATGAAATGCAAGAATTTTATGTCTTTTGGTTTTGTATCTACACATCCTTATTCTTTTCTAGAAATTGTTGATTTATTTATCAGTGGGAGAAAACAAGAGAATTCCTTTATATTTTAGGAAAATAAGATCTGTGTTATCAAAAAATTGTTCAAGCATTAGAGTGTCATTATCCTGAACAGCCATGACACAATTGATTTGAATGTTCATCTAAAACAAAACCAAAAGCAAACAAAACAAACCGAAACCAAATCCAAGAGTGCTGTGGAAGGCAAAAACCAGATATTTTCCTGTGTATGGGGTTTTCAAGATTTCGTCCTACTGGCTTACTTCAGGGTCCTTAGGAAAATGCTTATATCTAACTCTAGATCTGACCTAAATTTAATTTCTAAGAGTAGTTAATTACAAATTATAATCAAAACTTTATTGTGTTTATGTTTTATGTAGGTCTGCTCCATATAAGAAAAACAATTGCACAAAAAATACATGCATGCTCCAACCAGAGAGCATGTGGGTTTGTCTTCAGGTTTCATGTCCGGGAGAGGTTATTTTGTATTCTGCTTTGAAAATTTGACATTCTCAAATCAATGAGGAATCTCTCAGTGGTGACTCAGTTTGTCCTGATGGGCATTCCATACACACAGAGTGCCCTGTTTATGTCTTTCTACATCTTCACTTTGCTGGGAAACCTGCTCATACTCCACACAATTATGTCCTCCACTCAGCTTCACATTCCCTTGTACTTCTTCTTTTGCCATCTGTCCATGTGTGACATATTTTTCCCTTCAGTGACTTCTCCCAAGATGCTTTTCTACCTCTCAGGAAACAGCCAAACCATCTCCTATGCTGTATATGCCAGCATTTCTTCTACCATTTCCTGGGTTGTATTGAAGGTTTTCTGTACACAGAGATGGGCTATGACTGCTTTGTAGCCATATGCTACCCTCTAAGGTATAGAATAATCATGAACAACAAAGTATGTGCCATTCTTGCTATGGGGACATCATTTTTTGCTCGCATTCAGGCTACATTTTTAACCACTGTCACTTTTCAGTTACTCTACTGTGGTCCCAATGAAGTGGCCTATTCTTCCTGTGATATGCTAGTGTTGTTGAAGCTGCCTTGTGCAGACAAATCAGCCCAGGAAATGGTGAGTTTCATAAATGTGGACCTCATGCCTCTCAGCTGCTTCTTATTCATCCTCATGTCCTACAGCTGTATAGTCTATTCCATCCTGAAGATCCTCTCTGCTGAATGTAGACACAAAGCCTTCTCTACCAGCATTGTCCACATCACTGCCATCCTGCTTTTATTTATCCCAGTGGTGCTCATATACCTCAGGCCAACATCAAGACCTTGTTTAGATGCAGCCATTCAAGTTTTTAACAGCCTGGTTATCCCCATGCTGAATCCTTTGATCTATAGCTTGAGGAATAAGGAAGTAAAAGGTTCTTTAAAGAAAGTGCATAACTGGGTACTGGTATGCAGAAGACTGCAGATAGATCCATGTGTATCGCCTTGTACAAAACTTAAGTCCAAATGGATCAAAGATCTCAACATAAATCCAGCCACACTGAAACTTTTAGAAGGGAAAGTGGGAGATACTCTTCAACGAGTTGGTACAGGAGACCACTTCCTGAACATAACACCAATGGCACAGACACTGAGATCGACAATTAACAAATGGGACCTCATGAAACTAAAAAGCTTCTGTAAGGCAAAGGACACAGTCAACAAGACAGAAAGGCAGGCCACAGAATGGGAAAAGATATTCACTGACCCCACATCTGACAGAGGGCTAATCTCCGAAATTTACAAGCAAGTCTCCAAAACACCAAAGGATCCAATCAAAAGGTGGGGTACAGAACTAAACAGAGAATTCTCAATAGAGGAGGCTAAAATGGCCAAGAGACACTTAAGAAAGTGCTCAACATCCTTAGCCATCAGGGAAATGCAAATCAAAACAACTTTGAGATACCACTTACTCCAGTCAGAATGGCTAAAATCAAAAACACCGAAGACAATTTATGCTGGAGAAGATGTGGAGAGAGGGGAACACTCCTCCACTGCTGGTGGGAGTGCCAACTCGTACAGCCACTTTGGAAAGCAGTATGGAGATTCCTCAGGAAAATGGAAATTAATCTACCACAAGACCCAGCAATTCCACTCTTAGGCATATATCCAAAGGAGGCAAATTCATACAACAAGGGCATCTGCTCCACTATGTTCATAGCAGCATTATTTGTAATAGCCAGAACCTGGAAGCAACCTAGATGCCCCTCAACTGAACAGTGGATAGAGAAAATGTGGTACATTTACACAATGGAGTATTACTCAGCAGAAAAAAACAATGGAATCTTGAAATTTGCAGGTAAATCGATAGCACTGGAAGAAACCATCCTGAGTGAGGTAACCCAGTCACAAAAAGACAAACATGGTATGTACTCACTCATATATGGATTTTAGACATGGATAAGGAGAGTGCCAGTCTGCACTTCCACTGACAGAGAGTCTGGGAAACAGGAAAGAACCTAAAAGATATGCATGGTACCCAAGAGAAGAGAAATGAGGCAAGATCCTCTGAACAGATGGGGAACACGGTGAGGGGTGAGGGGGATGGGGACCTGGGAAATAGAGAGGGGGAGAAGTTGAAGAGAGAGCAGGTCGTGGAGGAACAGGAAGGTTGACTGGGGGTGTAGGATAGGGGGAAGAGGGAATCATAGGTTAGAAGACAGATCAGGCACCATTGTGACCTCTAGTGATCTAAAGAGATGACACCAATTGGCAAGCTGAGCAATAGTGGAGAGACCACCTCGAATGCCCATTCCTGATAATGAACTTGATGTCTGTAACCATCCTGGAGCCTTCATCCAGTGACTGATGGAAGCAGAGGCAAACACCCACAGTTAAACACTGAACAGAACCCAAGGAAGTCAGCGACAGAGAGAGAGAGGAGCGATGAGCAAACTGGCAAAGAATGGGCTGGCAAAACCAGCAGAGACAGCTGATCCGAACAGGGGAGAGCTCTTGGACCCCAGACCGACAGCTAGGAGGCCAGCATGGGACCGATCCAGACCCCCTGAATGTGAGAGTCAGTGAGGAGGCCTGGGCTACCTATGAGGTCCTGAGCAGTGGATCAGTGTTTATCCCTCAAATTCTAACAGACATCTTGTGTCCATAACACAAAGAGGGTTGCTCTCTCTGCCTGGACTCTTAGGGAAGTGCCTGGACCCTACCCTGAGTGAAATGATAGACTCTAGATATCCCCTATGTGGAAGGAATTGGCAATAGGGCTGGAGGATGGGGGGATGGTGGGGGGTTGCAGGAGGAGGGGAGGGAGAGGGAACTGGGATTGACATGTAAAACAAGCTATTTGAAATTAAAATTAAAAAAAGATCATGTCTTTAAAAAAAAAGAAAGTGCTATGGAAAGTGGCCTCCATACTTGAGAAATGCAAGAGAAAGTAACAGAAACTATTACTTTAATATTATACTTATTACATAAGGTATTTCATTTTGTATGACCAAGATCACAGATATAAATAACCATTGCCTTACTTTACCAGTGCTCAGCACTTAAAGACCAAGACAACTCACTAAAATTAAAAAACTAATAAATTCCTCTACCAAGAAGAATGATATTTTTCTGAATTTTCTTCCTCTTTTTACATTAGGATTGGCTTCCTATACATATTTGCCCCACCATCATTGACATATTTAATTAGTTATCTCTTCAAATGTCTGCATGGAATATATTTTCATTTCAAGGTCTAGAATTTGCTGCAAAAGAACCAAGAGTAGATCAAACAAATGTATTTGGGAACTTTTCTGTGATTTGAAACCACAGCAACTGTTCAGTAAAAATGAAAACAACAGGCAAGCGCCTCTGGATAAGGTCTAATTTAGGTGGCCTCCAGATGAGTCAAGATCCTGGTGTGACATAGTATAGCCATCTGCTAGTCTCATTCATAGGGTAATGGAAGTGTGGAGACTGCAATCAGGAAGTTTCTGTGAATGGAAAGCTGACTTTTTGATGGTTTGAATTTTGCTTTGGAATCCTCAGCACAAGCAAAAGTGCATGAAAAGACAGCAGTTGATTTGTGGCTCTGAATACTCTGCCTACTTAAAGGGTGTTGCCTTAGTGTTCCCCATCATAAAGCCCTTCCTTCTTTTGGCTTATTTTTGAGATTATAGTGTAATTACATTATCTCTTTCCTCTCTTTCCTCCCTTTAAACCTGACCGTATGCTTTTCCCCATTTTCTGTCAAATTCATGGCCTCTGTTTTCATTGTTATTGCATGTTTGTATGTGTCTGTATATACATGTATATTTCTAAATATACTCTGTTGAGATCTTTTTGTAGGGTTGAGGCTGAGTAGGTTTTTACCCATTCAGTTTGCAATGGTAGTTAATGTTCTTGTTTGTAATTGAGCTTTTATTAAGTATAATAAAGATGTGGTAGTATTGTTTTCCATTCATGCAATCAATGAATATTTTTGGAGTCCACATTCTTTGGACCAAGTATAAGAGAGTGAATAGTTAGGAAAGCAGATCATAAGAGAAGTGATGAATCAGCTAGTACTGACAGAAATGGATGCTGGGGATGTTAAGGCACTTTTTGTAATGCTGTCTTTACCTGGTTACTCACTAAGGGCTCCAAATGATTTACAAGTAATGGAAACATCAAATTATTTCTTAGAAAGAAACAGTATACTTAGAGTTACTGTTTTTTATTTTTCTTATCACAGATTGTATCAACTTTCACCTTCAATACGAAGGGGATAGCAATTTTCTTTTGTATTCATTTTATATTTGATATAAACAAGAAAAAAAACAAATTCTCACTCAATTTATTAAAGGTATTCCAAAAGCTGATAACTGTATTTTTGTCGTTTTGCTCAATATTTAAACAATTGTGTTATTGTACGTCAGTAATCACAGAGGAAGGACAAGAAAGAGATACAGCTGGCTGTTAGTATCCCAGTGTGGGTGACATAACCTAACTTGGGCCACCTGGAGGAGCAGCAAATGCTTTTATACTGAGTCATTTTGCCATTCCTTTATTCAACATTATTGCAACTCTACCTGGCTATGTCTAAAGCTTTAATACTAAATTTCAGAAGAACAGTTTTCACACTCATGCTACTAAATATTGTTCATGCATGCTTATATCACACTTTTTCAGTTCATCTTGCTGTCTTTAGTTCTCTGACTTGTTTAACATTATTATTGTTTCTCTCCCCACTAAAACATAAGCAAAGTGTTAGGAGCTTTTTCTATGTTGCTTACTGTTTTACTTAAAGAATCTCACATTATTTTAATCAAATTTTAGAGAAAATAGAATATGAAGTTTGAAATCATACTTTTGACTTTTCTCTTAGGCTGTGATGAACTGGTTTCCATTTATTTTGAAATAGATGTGCCTTGAATTTGCTTATCCTTTCCCTTTCTAAAACCTTTCATGCATGCACTAATTTCTTCTACACTATATCTTAAATAGGACAGATTTCTGTGCATGATAATTTCTGGGAAGAAGTGTGACTAAATAGACTGATTAGAACTTCAGTGATATAGAGTGTTTGGGACACTGTGTGTCCACAGTTAAATTATCCCGGGGCATATTTAGTATACGTAGGAGTTATTTATCAACTTCTTAACTACCTTTATAACAATTAGGTCAATTCTTTGCATTGTCTTAGCCTTTGGTTAGTAGAGCCTTAGTGTCTACTAACCAAAAAACTAAAAAGGCTGTCATTTAGCTTTTAAGGCCATATAGCATAGTACTCCTACCTCTACTTTTCTGTGACCGACCTGACTATATACCCATTTGAAGACAGAGTTTTTGTCCTGCCTGAACACGCAGCTGTTCAGTCCCAAATAAACACACAGAGGCTTTTATTAATTATAAGGAGTTTGACCAATGGATTAGCCTTCTTACTGGCTAGCTCTCTCTTAATTATTAACCCATTTTTCAAGGCTGTGACTTATCCCTAATTCTTTGGCATCTCTCCCAGGACTCACTCTCTTTGTGCTTCTCCAAAAATTCTCCTAGTCTGGTAGCTCTGCCAACACTTTGTGCCTGTCTACTGACCAAAATAACTTTATTCATCAACCAATAAGAGAAACATATTTACAACATTCAGAATGACATCCCCCTTCACCAATAAATTCATTTGAAAATCATGTTAATGTTACTGCATTTTTTGTTCTTTTACTCTAAAATATTTATGAAACTGCTAGTTTTTTGTATCATCATGTTTGGGAACTCCTAAACCTGTGTTCCTGGGGTATGATTACTCATATTTTGCTACAGAATAAACCATCTCCTTTATTCATTTAGAACAGAGCTGTTAAGTTCATCGGCCACAGCTAAGATTATATTAAACAATTTCCTTAAAACAGAAGACTAATTAGCCATACAACTGTAGCATTCAGTCTATCTAAAAAGGATAGTTAACAAACTAATTATAATGAGACACATGAACTGCTAACAGCAATGTATAAAATTGAATAATAGCATAGATATTGGTGTTGGCAACTCTTATAAGAGAAAGGGACAGAGGAAGACAAGTTTTAAGATCCATTTGTATAGTATATTAAATCCTCACTTTGCATGATAAAATGTCTATCAGCCATTTTAGATCCTGTATTGAGAATTCTCTATTTAGTTCTGCACCCCACTTCTTAATTGTATTGTTTGGTGTTTTGGTGGCTAGCTTCTTGAGTTCATTGTATATTTTGGAGAACAGCCCTCTGTCTGATGTGGGGTTGGTGAAGATATTTTCCCATTCCGTGAGCTGCAAACACCAAATCTCAGGTCCCAAGGTTGAGAGACCCTGAACTTTTCTAAGTATCAAAGAACATTATTTGGGTTACATTTATGTTACCATAGAAAGTCCCACGCAGTGTATAAAGTGGCAAGTATCTCCTCTTCCAGTGTTCTTGCAGGAACTGGATTAGACATCATCAGTGTGACCATCATAGTAATTCCAAGATCAGCCTGAACTGGTGAGACATTATCTCAGAAAATCCTGGGCCTAGGATACAGCTCAGTGACAGAGCATTGAGGTAACAAGCTTAGACAGTGAGACTAATCCTTAGTACTGGAAGAAATCCAGCTTTATTATGGCAGAAAATGTGTTTCATTTTACATATTTTTCTATTCTTTAGTGATCTCTTTATTTCTTAATCACTGAATAAATGAATTGCATCTAAAAGCAAGAAGCTTATAAATAATCAGTTACATTTTCCTGAAAATGTTTTTAATTAAGAGTTTTGCAGAATTACCTTCTTAGCTACATGTTTTTATATAAGAATGAAGTATCCTTTCTCTCTTATAAGTGGGTAAAATACTAATCTATATTCTGTGGCATTTGTTTTTTTCATTTGTCAACCTAAAACTTGTAAGTACATAATAGGGTCCTATTGTGATTTAATTTGTATTTCTTTTGATTGATGATGTTGAGTGTATTTCTATTATTTACCTGACAATTATTTAATAGTTTTTATGAAAAAATGAGCACAAACCAGTTGCTTGTTTTTCTTCATGTTGAACAATTTCCTGATATTTTGGCTACATTAATACATAATTATTGATTTTATTTCTCATTGGATATATACAATTAGTAAACATCTTCCTCAAGATGAATTATTTTTAATCCTATGAACACTTTTAATCAATGTTAAACTTAAATATCCAGTATCCAGAATATTTTGATGGCAACATGTATCTTGCTATATAACTCATACCCTTTGTCAGTGGTTTAACACAGTTACAGGTTTTACTGCCTCGTGATGTAATTTCACTTTTTCTTTTTTGTCATCTCATGAACTACTATACTGTCATGAATTTTACAGGAATCTCCCATTCATTTTATGCTTTCTCACTTCAGCCCCCTACTGACCTTAATTGATTTGTATTCTTTTGTTTTCTTTCATGACTTCAATGTAGATAATTTTAATTATCCTGGAGTTTGTTTGGTTTAAAAAAAGAATCATGGATTGCAGTTGTGTTACATGTAAAACTAAGATCTACTCAGGAGATCTATTTTATTTCCCCTTCCCAGGAGGATCCGTGTATATCCCTCCTTAGGGTTCTCCTTGTTACCGAGCTTCTGTGGGGTTGTGGACTATAGGCCGGTTATACTTTGCTTTATGTCTAATATCTTGTTTACTCCCCATAGGAGTCTTACCCTCTCTGAGGAGTGGAAGGGGGATGGGGTGGGGAGAAGGTGGGGAAGCAGGAGGAGGGAAAAGATGGGAACTGGGATTGGTATATAAAATAAAATGATTGTTTTTAAATAAAAAGATAAGACATTAGAAGATTATATATAATAATATTACCAGAATGTTAATTTGTTAATAACTAGATGAATATTGCATTCAAAATTTATATCTAAATCATGTATTAGGTAAGTATATTTTATGTACATTGTTAGACATTGCTCTAGGAAAATAGACTTTCACTTTTATTTGCTATATATCTCTCAGTTATTCCAGAATTAGTATTGAAATGACTATTCTTGGGCTACCTTCTTTGTACAATTTGCCAAAAATAAATTAACTATAAATACCAGAGACTATTTTCTGAATTCTCTATTTGGTACTGCTGAGATATGTCCCTATCTTAACTGATATACATGAACTCAATAATTCAATGTTAGAGTAAGTATTGCAAGTAATTTGAGCTTTACCACTTCATTTTGTATATGAAAGGGGAAATGATTAGAATACGGACAGAAGAAAAATTATCTATTATGATCCTTTTGTTTTAGTCTAAACTATCAAATTAATTAGTTTAGGTTAGAAATGTAGGTTAAGTTTTCCAAACTATGAAAGCACTATTTTCTTCCAAATAGAAGTCTTTTATGACCTTTTTCTGAAAATATTATTTAAAATACAATAAGAATGTCCACACTTTGTTAGTTTTCTGCTTGATTTTTTTTTAAATTGAAGTTCCCAATTATGCTCTTCATGTTTTTTCTCCATGTAGATATGCTCCTAAATTGTAAGGGTTTTTGTTGAAAATGAAACCAATATATGCATGTGAAAAATCCTTGGTTTGACATCAGTGTTTATGTCTTGGAGATCTGCGTTCTACTTTTAAGTCAGAAAACCTCAAAGCTATGAGGAATCTCTCCATAATGATTCAGTTTGATCTTTTTATCACCCTGCACAGCATGCAGAGGGTCTGGAGACTACACTCTTTTCCTGTTTTTGTCTTTCTACATCTTCATCCTGGTGGGAAACCTGCTCAGATTCCTTGCAATTGTCTTTTCTACGAGGCTTCACACTCCCATGTACTTCTTTCTGTGCCAGTTGTACATGTATGACATACTTTCCCCTCCAATGATTTCTACCATGATTCTCTTCAACCTCTCATGAAACAGCTGAGCCATCTCCTAAGCAGACAATAGTTTCCCTTAAAAATATTTTCAGAATTGTGTGAATTTTTTCCTTAAACATTTAGATGAAGGCTTTATGATACATCAAGCCTTTAGTCTAGATCTCCTATATATTCTAGATCTCATATATGCTGCATTTCTCCAGCATTGAAATTCCCCGAAAGTTTTGTTTGAATAATAATTCTTATAGAAAATTTTATGATCTGAGTAATACAACATCTTTTGTAACTTAACAGAAGCATCATTTTTATTGATAGTATATTTATGCAAGATGCAGGAGAATAAATCTTTATTGACATTAGTGATAACATATTATATCCATAGTTATTAGTTCAGCAGAGATGTGTCAGGTCCTGTGAATGAACCCTCTCTGGATTTACTACTACTCAATATTATCTATAAGAACAGACTTGATAAAATGAAATAAATGAAGAGTAAGCACATGAAAATATATTTTATATCTTTTATAACCAGCAACAGCAAGTTCAAAAACATAAAATATCCATACATTAGAACTGTTAAAATTAAAACATGATTCCGGTATTGACTTTAAAATAGAGCAATTGCAACTCTTATCTATAACTATTAAAGGTTTAAATTTTACCTTATTGACAAGCAGATTTGCAGTTAGGTGGATGGATAATAGTCAAATATAATATACAATTAACATAATTTATTAATATTTCAGCTAGATATATTTTACATTAAATAAAATATATGATCATAACAGTATAGAACTGATAATAACCTTATTTGTAATAGACTGAAAAACCTTGAGTCAAAAATAACTAAATGAAAAGGGATAACACCAATTGGCAAGCTAAGCAATAGTGGAGAGACCACCTCGAATGCCCATTCCTGATAATGAACTTGATGTCTATAACCATCCGGGAGCCTTCATCCTGTGACTGATGGAAGCAGAGGCAAACACACAATTAATCACTGAACTGAACCCAAGGAACCCAGTGACAGAGAGAGAGGAGTGATGAGCAAATTGGCAAAGAATGGGCTGGCAAAACCAGCAGAGACAGCTGATCTGAACAGGGGGAGAGCTCTTGGACCCCAGACCGACAGTGGGGAGGCCAGCATGGGACTGATCTGGACCCCCCCAAATGTGAGTGTCAGTGAGCAGGCCTGGGCAACCTATGGGGCCCTGAGCTGTGGATCAGTGTCTATCCCTGGTATACAAACAGTCTTCGTGTGCCTATAGCACAAAGAGGGATGCTCTCTTAGCCTGGACTCTTAGGGGAGTGCCTGGACCCTACCCAGAGTAAAATGAGGGACTCTAGATATCCCCTATGTGGAAGGATTTGGCAATAGGGTGGGAGGGTGGAGGGGAAGGGGAGTGCGGGAGGAGGGGAGAGAGAGGGAACTGGGATTGACATGTAAAACAAGCTATTTAAAATTAAAATAAAAAATGATTAAAAAAATAACTAAATGAGGAGATGGTGTTAAATCCATACAATGGTATTCTGAACAATAAAATGGAATTATGGAATGGAAATAAATTTTTGTATAAAGAAAAACATATGTATTTATATGATATTATATAAATGTCAATCATGAGTCCACTGAGACAATGTGGAAATCAGCTGTTGTCTACGAATGGAGGTCAAAAGAAGAGTCATGAAATATAATCAACTATATTTTATTTTGATTGCGGTAATAGTTCCAAAATTCATAAATGTGCCCAAAGTAATCTTTTTCCTTTTTATATATGTGCAGTTTTATGTACTTCAACTTCCCTTCATAAATTTTTCATGATGATATTTCATGAACATAAAGATTAATGGCTATATCCATAAAAATAATTTGGGGGATTTTGTTAGTATTGTAAAATTTGTAAGTTAATTGTAAAAACTAATGTCTTTAAATGTTGTTTCATTCTACTCAAAACTTGAGGTCTCACTTGTTCAAATCTACTTTTGTACATTTTAGAAGTAGCTGAGAGTTTCACTAGGGAAAGATCTTCACTCCTTTTGTTCAGTGCATGCACACATATTCTGTCTCGTTGTTATAGATCAGGGTTTATAGTATGTAGCAGATGTATTTCATACTGAATTCTGAATGTTAGTTTACCTCTCAGTCACTTTCTGAAGCCTTAGATTACTTTTATTACCATTTTTTAGAGATTTTTCAGTAAGATATTATATTGTTCACAATTAAAAGTAACTTTTCCTTCTTTTCTAAATGTTATACTCCTCAGGTATTTCTTATATCACAGCTAACTGAATAACAATTCATATTTAATAATACAACATGATATTTTGGGGACATACTTCCCTTAAATTGTTCTGACTGAAGAGATATTGACCCATGGTAATCAAGCAGCAAATGGAAATCAAGTACTCTCGCACATTCTATAGAAAACCATAAAAACACATTGAGCACATTGGGAATAATATGCAGACTTAACCTGCCAAACTTTTCTGCTTCTCTGTCACCTCCACCCCCCCTCTTTCTCTTGAGTTTCTCCTGCATTTGTCTTGTCATCACAAGTATTTATGGATGGACCTAGGATCCAGTTCCATGTTTCTAAACATTCCATATTAGTGAGAAGCCCAGTACCCCTCTGTCTGCTTGTTTTCATTTGTTCTTGGCCAGTACTGTCGATGTGTACCATGCAGTTGACATTTTGATTGTTTTTCACTCTAGCACATCTCTTCTCCCTCCCTCTCATGTCTACCCCCCTTTCCCACACTAGTCTCCTTTTTAATTTCAGTGTATTAATTCCTATCCCTTGTTTTATGACAAGGAACATCTGTGTCCTTAGAATTAGAACTATGCTTTGGAGTCTGGTAGGAACAATGATGATAAAACTGAAGATAGTGACTCCTCCCCAACTCCCAGATCCCATCAGGAGTCTATAAATCAGTTCTGTAAGGAAAATTATGGCTAATGATTATTTAAATGGACATAGTTACAAATTGCATTCTAAATATTTGTGTTTGCATCCTTAGACAAAAGCCTCTCTCAACACTGAGAAAAGGTTCCATTTACACTGAACAGTGGTAAACAGAGACTCATGGCTTCCCAGAATGCTGAGAATAAGTGATAGATAAGATCGGAAAACTAAACAAAGCATTTGCATTAACATACCATCTAAGGAATGAGAAATATTTCAGATGAGGGACAGAAGGAATGTAAGATGTAAAAGACAGGAGAAAGGTAGGAAAGTATACCTTCTATAACTCAATCATTATACTGATGAACAAAAAGAACCAGGGAGTCTAGACTAGAGAGACCAACTCACAATTACTTACGGATAGTGGAAGGGTTCATGACCCCTCATCCCTTACTGCTGAATTAAGCACAAAAAAAGGTAAGCAACTACTGAACATTCAAATTAGAGACTGATGTTAGAAATAAATAATCATTTCACTTATTTGATGGAAAGATCAGTTTTCTTGTAAAATCACTAATACCTGCTTTACAAAATCATTTTCTATGCTAATGGAAAAATAATCAACAATATATGTTAAAGCACTTTCAAAATTATACATACTGCATGCAGGCATATGGCATAATAGGATACTCTGAGACCAAATCTAGAATCATAAACATAGATACGTTGCACTTTACAAGAGACAAATAAAATGAATAGAAAGAGCATGTTTTCATTAGAATAATCTCTTCTCTCATTTACTGTTAGCCAAAAATAAGATTATCTCCCCAACAAGAATCTACCCAATGCTTTTTTCACATCTTTGTTCCTCAAGCTATATATTAGTGGGTTCAGCAAGGGGATCACTGTGGTATAAAACACAGAAGACACCTTTTCTTGTTCCAGAGTATTACTGGAAGAAGGCTTGAAATACATAAAGGTGATAGACCCAAAGAAAATTCCCACAGCCATAAGATGAGAGCTGCAGGTTCCAAAGGCTTTGAAACGCCCCTCTGATGACCTAATGTGAAGGATGCTTCTAAAGATAAAGATGTAGGAAATGGCAACAGCTAGGGTGGGCACCAAGGTGTTGATCCCTCCAATGATAAAGAGAAGCAGCTCATTGAGGTGTGTGTTAGAGCAGGAAAGGTTGAGGAGGGGAAGGACATCACAGAAGTAATGGCTTATGATGTGAGATTTACAAAAGTTCAGTTTCATCATAGCGCTTGTGTGTGCAATGGCAGACAAAAGGCCTAGGATGAAGGAAACCAGAACCAACAGTGAGCAGAGTCTAGAGGACATGATCACATTATACATTAATGGTCTGCAGATGGCTACATAGCGATCATATGCCATGGCAGTCAGGAGGTATCCCTCAGCCACCACAAAGATCACAAAGAAAAAAAGCTGGGCCAGGCACTCAGAATAGAAGATCAAATTCTTCTTCCCAAGAAAGTTCACCAGCATTTTGGGTGTAATGACAGTGGAATAGCAGAGATCAACAAATGATAAGCTGCGGAGGAAATAATACATGGGAGTTTGCAGCAGAGGGCTGACTGTGATGAGCAGGATCATGCCCAGGTTCCCCACTACTGTCACCACATAGATTCCCAGGAACAGGAGAAAAAGAGGCAGTAAGAGCTCTGGCTGCTCTGTTAATCCCACCAACACAAACCCAGCTGCAGTAGAATGATTCCCATTCCCCATTCTTTGACG